ATGGACTAAAGCAAGCGTCTCGCAGATGGAATCTTTGCTTCGATGAGAAAGTCAAAGAGTTTGGATTTGTACGAAGCGAAGATGAATCGTGTGTATATGTCAAAGCCAGTGGGAGTGTAGTAAGCTTCCTCGTTCTATATGTCGATGACATATTACTCATAGGAAACGACGTCCCGAATCTGCAGGAGGTTAAGTCGTGGCTCGGGAAGTGCTTCGCTATGAAGGACCTCGGAGAGGCTTCCTATATTTTGGGAATAAGGATAGTAAGAGAAAGAAGTAAGAGACTAATAGGACTTAGTCAAAACACTTACTTAGAGAAGGTACTAAAACATTTTAGTATGGAAAACTCGAAGAAGGGAGAATTACCGATACAAAGTAATGCCAAGTTGAGTAAGACTCAAAGTCCGAGTACCGAAGCCGAGATAGCTGAAATGAGTCGAGTTCCATACGCTTCCGCAATTGGCTCAATCATGTACGCTATGACTTGTACTCACCCTGATGTAGCCTTTGCTTTGAGCATGGTTAGTAGATATCAAGGGAACCCTGGCAGAGCCCATTGGATTGCAGTGAAGAATATCCTAATTAACTTCGGAGGACGAAGGAATGGTTCTTAGTCCTCGGAGGGAGTGATGACTTGAAGGTGCGAGGGTATAGTGACGCCGGTTTTCAAACCGACAGAGACAACTACCGTTCCCAGTCGGGCTGGGTCTTTACCCTGAATGGAGGAGCAGTGACTTGGAAAAGTTCCAAGCAGGAAACCGTAACTGATTCAACGTGCGAATCAGAGTACATTGCAGTGAGCGAAGCGTCGAAGGAGGCAATATGGCTGAAGAACTTCATTGATGATCTTGGAGTTGTACCTGCCATAAAGGAGCCCATGGAGATTTTCTGTGATAATGAAGGAGCGGTTGCCTTGACCAAGGAACCAAGAGATCATGGTAGATCACGACTATCGACATAAAATATCACTTTATTAGACATCGTGTAGAAGAAGGACAACTCGTAGTAAAGAGGATATCATCGGAAGATAACCCAGCAGATCCGCTTACGAAGGGACTGAGTAGGGTTAAGCACTTGCAGCATGCTAGGAGTATTGGGCTGAAGGATGATATTAGCATAGATTAGATAGTATTAGAAACGTATAATAGATAAATTTAATTAACATTTGATGATTAAATAAAGGAGTTTTATTTATAAGTAATGTTATTGTCTTATGTTGATTGTTTAACTATTGTTTCACTTTGCATGTTTTAACTTCCAGAATAATTGAGTTTATTAAGAATAATCGAATTATTCAAATTGTCCTCAATCGTTTATATGTCGGAAGTAGATATGAATGAAGATTGTCATGAATAGGTGTGTAGATTGTCTAAATGGGTTTAGACATAGCAAAAGATTGCTGAAACGTTCATGAGTGCTTATGAACTAGTTTTGAGCATTGGAACAAACCCGCGCTTGCTGGAATCACCTTATGGAATGTGATAAAAAGGGTGATCGCAAGACGATAATATCATATAGTCTTAAAACCTAGATATATGGTTTGTTATTTGTTAATTGATTGTACATTGATAATGCGAAAACACATTGGTAACTCAATGTTAATAAACGCATTGTTGTGTATAGTTGGTTAATGAATAAGTAAATGCATATAAGTCGAAGTTTATCTGTAACTTTTATCCTAAGAAGGAAAAAGTGATATCTCGGCCGCTCGATAATTTGATTTGACTTATGTGCTGGGCCCGGTCAGAACTGAATTGATGTGTTTGATTAAGTTCTATGTCAAATAAATCGGAGATCGAGAAACCAAATGCTAGACTAATCATTCCATAGAATTGTCAACATGATATCTAACAGAGGATTGTATGATATCTTATCTAAAGGACAAAATTGATTCAATTCATGTTTAATTAGAGAAACCTAGATCCAAGCATTAGGGTTTGTATGCGCACATAGGAATGTTCTTATGTACAAAACCCATCAGATCGTTAGGTCATTGTTTTTATCGATGATATCTTGGTTTATTCCAAGACCAGGAAGCAGCATGAGGAGCACCTTCGAGAGCTGTTGGGAGTTTTGAGGAGGGAGAGAATTTATGCCAAGTTCTCGAAGTGTGAGTTTTGGATACAGATGTCCAGTTCTTAGGACACCTCGTTAACCAGAACGGGGATTCTGGTCAACCCGGCTAAGATTGAGGTAGTTATGCAATTGGAGGCCTCGAAGTCCCCTTCGAAGATCAGGAGTTTTTTAGGGTTTAGTAGGATATTATCGGAGGTTTATTCGGGATTTCTCAAAGGTTGTTATACCTCTCACTCATTTGACTGGGAATGGGTGTGGATTTTCGTTGGGGCCCTGAGCAGCAGGCTACGTTCGAATTACTAAGACAGAAGTTATATATGAGGCCCTATTGTTGAGCCTTCCGCAGGGCGTGGGTGATTTTGTTGTATATTGTGATACTTCCATCACCGGTTTGGGGGCAATACCCATGCATAGAGGGAGGGTTATTATGTATGCTTCTAGGCAGCTGAAGCTGCATGAGGTTCGGTATAGTGTTTTCCCTCAAGATTTGGCGGTATTATCTATATGGGATCTGGTGTACCATCTACAAAAATCATAAATTAGTTGGGAAAACCCCAGCCAACACGTCGTGTTGACTTGCAACCACATTGTGGTTGCCTGAGTTTCAACAGCTTAATACATTCAGTTGCTTTCTTCGACTCCAAAAGCTCCAAAGCTCATATCTAGGCCAAAACGTGATCTAGAAGCATAAAGTTTCCAACTTTATCCATTGGGACTACCCAAAAAGGTCCAAACCCAAATCCATAAAGCTTAGCAATGCAAGGGCTTAACTAATAAGCACTTGATCTTTAAAGTACTAAGTCCATCCTTTCCAGAAGTGCTTCAAACACCTAAACCATCCAAAGGTTAGTACTTTATAAACATTCATGCCCAATGCATGTCTTGAACCCATATTAGGTTAAAATGAGGATTTATGCCCTAATCTTTATGCATGACATCAAAACTTGATTATAATCCAGATCCAAGACATTACTAGATCACCTTGACTTGGAGATTCATAAAGTTGCAAACTTTACGAGGTCGAACCATTCCAACATTCAAGAATAAGAATCTAAAGGGACAAAACTCAAGATCTAACAACTTGGATTGATAAAAATTGAGTCTTGGACACTTACAAAGGTCCAGAAGAGTCCCAAGATTAAGAATGGGGACTTGCTTCCTTGATATTTTCTTCCTTCCTCCTCCTTCTTCCTTCTTTAGCTTTAAAAAGCACCAAACTAGCTCAAAATGAGGGAAGATGATTAGGGTTTGCAAGGAACGATTTATGGGAATGGAGGATGATGTGAGGGAGGCTAAAAGGGGGTTAAGGATCCTTAAATTGGGCTCATCCCTTAAACTTTTAGGTTTTCTCCATCAGCCACCACCACGTCGTGGTACAACACCACCACATCATGGTGGCTCATTAAACTCCACGGTCCAAGGCTTATCGGCACGCCGTGGCCAAAAAGGAATCATGCACAATATGGAAATAATTTCATACCTTATCATTGGGATGTTACAATTCAACCCCCACCCACTTAATCTAGACTTCGTTCTTGAAGTCTGCCGCGACGAATAACTCACGGTAATGCCCCGCATATCTGCCTCCGGCTCCCAGGTCCGCTCGGAGCCCCTCTGATGCTGCCATTGTACCTTTACCAAATACATCTCCTTTATGCCACCAGCCTCTCAACATAGTTCAGACGCTCATCGACCTGAATATCATCAAAGGAAACCACTGCATTATCATCCAATATGCACTTTCGCAACTGCGAAAAATGGAAAGTGTTGTGCATATGACTGAGCTCCTTAGGGAGATCCAACCTGTAAGCCACCTTGATAACCCTGGAAATCACCCGAAAAGGTTCAATATATTGGGGACCCAATTTCCCCTCTTCCTGAAGTGGATCACACCCTTCCAGGGTGAGACCTTTAGAAGTACAATATTGTCGACCTGAAACTCTAACTCTGATCGACTCCGATCGGCATAACTCTTCTGCCGACTCTGAGTGGTCTGCAATCTTTTCCTGATCTGCTGAATAAGCTCCATGGTCTGAAGGACTACTTCAGTCCTTCACATAACCCTGTGGCCAACCTCTCCCCGAAAAACCAGGGTGCGACACCTCCGACCATACAAGAGCTCAAAAGGCGAAGCACCAATGCTGGAGTGATAACTGTTGTTATATGAGAACTCCGCAAGAGGTAGGTAGGAATCCTAACTCCCACCAAAATCAACAACATAGGCCCGCAACATATCCTCGAGGGTCTGTATCGTCTGCTCATTCTGACCGTCGTTTTGCGGATTATATGCAGTGCTGAAGTGTTGCCTTGTGCCCAGTTCCTCGTGGAACTTCTGCTAGAATCAGAAGTGAACCGAACATATCGGTTAGAAACAATGCATTCTGGCCCTGTTGTTGACACTATCGCTTTTGTTCCTAACCCATGTATAGTTGGATGCATGTGTTGTAGAATTTTTATTCAAAACCCACAAGATTAAAAAATGAACAAAAACCCACAATAGATGTTTCAAACACAATTGATAAACAGACTCAATCATCAAATCCCCTTTCAACGAAGAAAGTTTTTAAAGTAATCCAATTTATCAAGAACTTCAGTTTTTCATTTAAATAGAGGAACACCTATGTTCGATGAAAATATATGGAACTTATACACTCATAATTAACTAAATTTAAGGATATGGAGACACAAAATTCAAACATACCTTCATGATGGAGACTAGTAGTCGGTGAATGATAAATTTATCGATTTGTTCAAATGTATGGTTCTAATATTGAAGGGTAATTTAGTCAATTAGATAGTTTTGATAAATTAATATGATTATAAAATATAAAAACTAATTAAAAATGTTTAAAAAATTGATTTTGATAAATCTAATATTTTAAAAGTATAATCTGATATTTAGATTTTAGATAAGAAATAGAAATATGATTTTTCATTACTGTTTGTATTCCATATCTATTATCAGCATCCGTGTTCAACCAAACACGTCCTAAATAAATTATTCAGCTAATTAACACGATGATCTTTGATTTACAATATCAAACAACCTGGTCAACTACGAATCGATGAAAAGTCAACGATTTGTCGATGATATACGTTTCTGCTTACGTTTCATGGAAAACACTTTCTAGTTCTACAAGGGAAATCTCTCTCTCGGATCACATATCTATCTCCAATAATCTTCTTATTTTTGGAGTAGCCAAACTGCAGCAATCTTTTAATCAATTTACTTTTTGGGTTGATCGACTTTAACCTCGCAAAAAAGAAATGAGTACAGGGGAGCTTCTCAACGTCGAGCCTGTGGAGCTCAAATTCCCTTGTAAGTCCTTCGATCCCATAAAATCTTGTCAAATAAACTGCTTTTGTTATGTGATTCTGAAACTTGTTCTCTCTTGTTTTTTTGTTTGATTAAATTAGTCGAACTGAAGAAACAGATATCTTGCTCCATTCAGTTGTCGAATAAGACAGAGAATCATGTAGCTTTCAAGGTAACATTCTACTGAATTCTTAATCAAAAATTTAATTTTGATTTTTATGTCAATTGATCTCGGATGGATTATGTTGCATTTTTTTTTTTCGAACTTGGGTTATGATCTAAAATTTCGAGGAAAGGGGTTAGGGTTTCTAAACTTTTGACGAAAAAATTCAGGTGAAGACTACGAATCCGAAGAAGTACTGTGTTCGTCCGAATAGTGGAGTTGTCTTGCCTCGATCAACCTGTGACGTCACAGGTATGATTTCCCCAAAATTTAGTTTTTGACATCCAGAAATCGAATCAAAGAAGGCAAGGTTTTGAGTATTTGTGGTCTGTTTGTTAAATTTATGGCTTCTGCTACAGTAACGATGCAATCTCAGAAGGAAGCCCCTGTTGACTTGCAATGTAAGGATAAGTTTCTCCTTCAGAGTGTGGTTGCAGGTCCAGGGGCAACCGCAAAAGATGTTACCCCTGAAATGGTAAGAAGATGAAATAAGATTTGAGAATTTGATAGCTTTTAGCCATGGTGATTTTGTGTTAATTTAAACTACAGTTCAGTAAGGAGGCAGGACATGCTGTTGAAGAGTGCAAATTGAGAGTTATTTATCTTCCTCCACCCCAACGACCTTCACCAGTTCCAGAAGAAGAACCAGAGGAAGGATCTTCACCAAAAGCTACAATATCCAATAATGGGAATTCTTCTAGTGGCTCTGAGGTTTGTTTTACTTTTACTTTTATTTAAAGGTTTTTAGATCTAATAAACAAGGGCATGGATTTTCAGATGAAATCGCTTATTTCAAAGTTGACAGATGAGAAAGATGCTGCTATCAAACAAAGTAACAGAATCCGTCAAGAAATGGTGAGTTTGATGCTGTTAATGGATGATCATCTGTTAAAAAAAATGTTAATGTGTTTGGTAATTCGTTGTGTTTGTGTAGGAACTATTGAGGCGTGGAGGCAACAAAACTCAAGCTGCTGGTTTCTCCTTCATCTTTGTTATTGTGGTGGGGTTGATCGGTCTACTTTTGGGTTACATCATCAAGAAGTAAACCATTCCCATTTGTTTTCTTTTAAGTTGTTGAAAATTGATGTACAACAATTGATTAATTCTTTTTTCTTTTTCTGTTTCTGATTATAGTATTATGACATTAGAACTTGAAAGAGGCGTGTGATAGATTAATCCATACCATGCATACGCCTTTTGAATGCGTTGGTAACCATTTTTCTACTCACAACAATACTCCGGATGGAAAGGGTTAATTGTACATTATCTTGTTTTTCAATATTCACTTCTAACAAGTTATTCAATGCAATGAAGTCTAGGTTTGTTTATGCAAAAATTTCCAAGCTAAAATGAAATTCTGATTCTAAAATTAAAATATAGTCCAATGTTTTCAATTTTGTTGTGTTTACCAAACTAGTTGAAAAGGTAGCTTGTAAGCTAACTAATAAAATAATAATGTTTTGATAAAAATACCTGATAATCTAAATGTCAATTACCAAATGGCTAGCCGTCTACTGAGTTGGAAAAATTGTTTCCAAGGGGTTGAAGGTTGAAGTCTTGCTTGAGACATTAAGGACGTGTTTGGTAAAAATAACTGTTAGTTGGAAGCGGGTAGCGGTTAGCTGGTAGCGAGAAGCTGTAGTTTTTATTTGTTATATAAATGTTTGGTAAAAATAGCTGGAAGGTTTTGAAATATATAAAATTACATAAAAGGACAATTGATTAAAAATAAATAAATATATAAATATATTTTTAAGGGTAATTATGGAAATTGATTTCAAAAGCTCAGGAGCGTTTAACAAAACACTACATGAAGTAGCTTTTAGAAAGGAGCGTTTTGTTAAAACTAAAAGCTAAACGCTCGTACTACCAAACGAAATTTTTTGTTTAAACTAGAGCGTTTTATCAAAAGCTAGAAGCTCTCAAACGTTCCAAAAGCTCCGTATCAAACACGCCCTAATACACACAATTTATGATAAGATTATGAGCCGTTGAGAAGAACTAGATTTCAATTATAAAATGACATAAAAAAATTTAGATATATAACTAAGATGAGATTAAGATAAAATTTGGATACCAGTCATAAAAGTCGTCCTAACGAATTTTTAAGTTTTTTCTCTAAATTTACTTTTTTTTTTTACAAGTTTTATTTTAAATTGTTTTTTTCGAGCTCTTTGTGTAGCTCTTCATTCTTCAAACTTCTTTTACTATGTTTTTAACAAATATGTAAACATTAATATGTTAAAAAAAATTGTATGTCTTTTACAACTTTTGTTCATTAGAACAAATATTTGAAAAAATGAACGCATACTCGCAAATACGAATAATCTCAAGTTTTTGTATAAACGATTGAGGATGATGAGAAAATTTTGTAAAAAACACTTGTGCAAATAGCTACGAAAATATGTAAAATAGCTGTTTAAAAGTTTGAGTATAGAAAGGTTATTTGAAAAACCTATGACAAAATATAAAAGATAATCAATAAGGTATCTCAAATAATTTTTAAAAGCTATTTTAGTGATCTTATTAAAACACTAACTTGTAATAATTATATATAGAAAAAACTAGCTTATAAACGAATATGTCAAAAAGAACAAACCTTAATCATAACCAACTGTGAGTCTCCACCACAACAAGTTCACATCTATAATATCTCTTTTACACCTCTATACTGGCTAGAGGTACACAAATACCAATTTTGAACCGATTTTGGTTTTCAGAAAATCATTTTTTAAATCCCGTTATTACCAAACATGATTCAGTTATAATTGGTTTGTTTTTTTTAATTGAAATTTCGTTAAATAAACGGTCATGTTTTGGAAAAACTGGTTCCTAGAAACCAGCTTCGGTTCATTTGTAGGTGTTCTCAAAAAACCGGTTTGACAGGTGCACCTTTATTACTGACTAACATTCAGTACAAATATTTTATGGGTCCTATCCACATTAAAAAGGCCCCAAATCCGTATATCAATTTAAATGAGCATTGAAAAGAAAAAACTCCTTGACAGAGAACCATTGGAAAATATTCAAATCGATCGATTAAATGGATATAAGAATTAAATTACATTTGTTTGGAATTCAAAGTATAAAATTCTTTTTTAGAAGATTTGATATTTTTACATCATAACTAAAATCTATTTCTAGATAATGGTTATATATTAGACCTTTTATAATTTTGGAAAATATTAGAGTACATTATGGAGCTCAGCTTGAGCTTGTGAAACTCATAGACTTAATTGGCATTGCTATATTTATATTTTTATCCTTTGGTTTATTCATATATACATGTTATAAAACTGAATTGAATTGAACTCACGAGCTTAATCTAATTTATGTTGTAGTTTAATGTAATTTTAATTTTCTAATAGTAAATTCAGAAGAGTCAAGCCGAGCTCGAAAATATTATTTACTTTTATCGTGCTCAAGCTCGAGCTTGAATTTAAGGCTCGAGTTGGAGCTCCACTTTTCTCTAATCGAGTCAAGGTTCGAGCTTGTAAGTATTCAACTCGACTCCGGTTGATTACATCCCTATTAAAACCACACATGAAA